TTGACTATGACGTATTAATAGACATTATTTATGGTTTGATGGAGAAACAACTTCTTTACGACACTTAAATGCATTTGACCTTTCACCCCACCTCTTTATCCCAATTAAAGAGCTCATCTATCAAAGAAGGGGTTTTATTTCAATGAAGTTTCCACATTTTAATTACACAAACCTTTCAGGTAAAATGTTATTTGTTGTCCAACTAACTGCACAAAAACATTAATTTTGTGTCTCAATATTTCTTCTTTTTTCACTTTCTTAAGTTGATGGTATGTCACATGACCCAGAGATCACATGACCTATATACATCCTGAAAAATCAATTCATTCACTGCTCTTGAGTTATTGTTAGATATATATTTTTTGTCAATTTTTACGTGTGATTAATTTGATGCAAGTAATGAAGAAATATTTTTTCAGTTGGTAATACATCTAATAATTTCATTAATGTCTAGTAAATGAGAGAACATTATTTTTTAAGTTCTACACATCAACTACCATTGGATTTTTATTGAAATGTGAAAGTGAGGTAATATGAGATTTAAGATACAGTCAATAATTTATCTTAAAATGAATATTAAGAGTGACGTTACAATCGTATTCCAACTTATGAAATACGAAAAACTATTGCAGTCGTCATTATAAAGATATAAATCAAATTGAAGTTGAGCATTTAATAGGAAATAAAGGATGTCACAAACACAAACTTGAACTAGAATAAATAACATTATAACTGGTTGTTTTGCTTTTTCTTCTCATCCAGCTCGGAGTCATATACCTTGATAGAGGAGAATTACGTGAAGCTTTTCAGTACTTTAATAAGGCTTTAGAATTGAACCCAGACCACATGCAGGCCTTATTTAATACTGCAGTTACCATGCAAGAGTCCAGGAACCCAGGTCTACGGACAGAAGCAACAAGGAGGTATAGGATTTTATTAGTCAAGCAAATATGAATATGTATAAGGCTCATTAATATGTATGGGGTTACGTCTGTATTGGGGTTGATTGAAAGGTGAATGTGTATGAATTTTGTATGAGGATACATCAGTGTGTATAAGGTTGTCAGTCAGGACTAGGATTGATTGAGCGATGGATATAAAAGATATAAATATTCATGAGGACAAATTAATATGTATGAGGCTGTCAGAATGCCTTATTGTGTGTTGTAGGTGATAGAAAGTTCACCATTGATTCAGTGCTCCGATTGTTACCAATCCTAACTATGTGGATAGAATCTAAAACGATGTCTTAAAAAAGAAAATTGTTTTTTTCTTAATATAAGGTGGTGATAAAATGAAAGCATAAGCACTTGCGTCCTGTCAATCAAACAAAGACCCATGTACATACATAAATAAGTTTACCTGTGTACACACCACTGAACACCTGTGCAATATGAGCCAAGACGCATGTAGGTTATTTTAAATCTTCCCTTGAGAATGTACCTGAAGAATGGTAAACTCACAAGAAATTAGTAAACATGAATCATAAGAAACTAAATACCATATCTTAGAACCTAAATATTTAGTTAGAAACATTGCCACACAATGAGGAAATAGGAAATAGGCAGGACAGAGGGTGGAAAGACAATTGATCCAATATCTAGAGTGGGCATACTATGGCATTGTAAATAGTAAAACAAATAAACTAAGAGAAAGTTAGCAAGCAAGAATCTTGAGAAAGTAAATACCAATCACTTTGTCTTGCAAAGTCACACAATAGGTACGTGGTTAAATATCTCTTTCAATAAATACAGTCAGACTTTGAATTAATAAGCATGAATCATAAGTAACTGAACATCTCTTAAAGCTCTTTAACAAAACAAAAAAAACTGATGTATGCACATATATAGACATAATATGCCTATATATGGTCAATATGTGATGTCATCATCACCATATTTAGGCATGTCACATATTTTTGTAAAATAAAATTTGATAGTCTGGATAGGGCTTAAGAAGACACCTGTTTAATATTTAAAAAGAGTACAGAGCAAGTAATAATGTTTAGTGCATACTTACACAATATTGACATCACTAACTTTACTAACCAGTCCACTTGTATTAGTAATAATACAGGTGGACATGTGAATATCACAACAGATGTTCCAAAAATAATTGTGTATTGTAATTAGAATTTAGAAACAATGAGTATTAATATAAATTTCAGAGTTTTAAATGTGAATATTTAGTTTGGAATTATTTGATGCACAAAAGACATTTAGAGACAAAAGATTGATTACATTTCTGTATAGGAAGCCTACATAACCCAAAGCTATCGGTTACAAGGCTTGTAATCAGAGAGTGTATTCCCAGTTCAGCGCCGCTCGCTCTAATTGAGGTAAAAGAAATTCTCTAAAATACCAATTATCTATCTATACAATATTTCTTTAAATGATAAATGTTTGACAAGTTGAAGACAAAATTTTTACCCATGAAAAATGATTAACCATGATGATGAGATATGATTGATGCTGTGTGACACATGTTCCAATTATGTAGCTTGAATTTCTACTTTTAGTAATAAAAAAAAGGCATACTCCTGAACAAAGAAATCCCTGTTTAATTTAAACATTGCAAATCTATAGAATATTTACAAACGTTTAATGTACCAAAGGAAGAAAGTGTAATACAATATATCAACACTATATTTCTCAGATTATGTGAATCTATGGGGAAAAAAATGAGATGACCAAATATGGAAAACTTCCCTGTCATGAAAAGCACTATTATTATAATACTGTTTATAGAAGGAAAAAAAACCTATCAACCTAATGATGTTTCAGTTTTTTTTTCCTTCAAAATATCAAGAGTGATCATTAAAGGTGCTAGAAAACCATTAATTCATTCAGTAATGTCAGAAAAATATTCATAAAGTCATGGAGAAGACATCAGATTGGTTCTTTATTCCAGTAAAGGGAAAATACATAATCATCAAACCTGAACAAATTTATGTGTGATAATTAGGTCCTACAATTTGTGTCAAACGTAAAGCTCACATCATGTCAAATCCTAGATTTATTCAGAAACATATAATCTGTGTTTATTGATAGAATTAACCAATTGATGACTTAACTAATAATCCATGTTGATGGATTATGAAATGTTGCTAATCTACGATCTAAACTGAGTTAACAGTAATGGTAGGCAAATGCATATTAAATTGATTCATGGGATTATAAAATGTCACTAATCTAAGAAGTAAACTGGGGTAACACTAATGTTCGGTCTATGCGCATAAAACTGATTCATGTAAAAGCATTAGCATGGGAGCCCCTGGCATAATTTTTTCCAAGCCGGCATTTATCATGTCAATGATCTTAGAACTAATGGATCAACTTGTGCACATAAACATGATTCACACAAAATCATTAAAATGCCAGTCCCACCAGTCTACAACATCAATTTTTTGTGAGCCCAAATTTGTCGGTTTTTGACGTTGCTTGAAGCATAAACTTTCCTAAGCACTTATTAAAGTAAAGTCATTTACAGGTACTGCAGTCATAATTTTATTGGTAATAATAATGGTCAGTGGGTGAATTGATTAAGCAGTACACATCGAAAAACAGGGGTGCACTTTTTCATACTTTACCTCCACCTGAAAGACAAAATATCTGAGCAGATGGAATTAAACCGGGTACCAAGGGTTAACAATCGATCACGGTTTAACATACACACACTGGCCACCGACTCAGCTAAGCTGCTCTCTCCTAAGTATTTAGACTACCTACGTACTACTAGGCCTACTGCTGGCTAGGCCTATACTACTACTATGGCCTAGTCCACCTAATTTAAACATAGGTGTGGTGTTCTAGCTTGGTGGTTAAGGTGTAAACAATTCTAATTTAAGATTTCTCAGTTCTAATCTCAGCAAATAACATTATTGCATAAGTGGTAATCATTTACTTTTGGATGACAAAAAAGATAGTGTGTATTTCAGTGTATTTACTAAATGTTCATTCTACACTTTTGTAGGTTGAAGAAAGTTCTCGCACAAGACCCACATAACGCAAAAGCTTTCTTCAATCTTGCGGCTCTCTCTATGGATAGCGGTGAAACTGACCAAGCAGAAATGCTCTTTAAAAAAGCATTAGAGGTAGGATAATTTATATTTATTGTACTTAATGCTAAATTGAAGAAAATATGTTTTCAATTTCGAAACTTGTCTGATGGTAAATCGGTCAGTACAGTATATGAAGTTTTTTTTATCAAATTACGGATGGATCAAAAGTATTAGTTATAGAATAACATTACAGAGAAAGTTAGCGGCAACACATGCCGATGTAAATGACGTGCCAGCTGAGGATATTAACCTACATGTAAATTGTCCAACATGTTTCTAATGTGTGTTTATTTTAGAATGATAACACTTCTCATAATTTGTTAAAGGTCTTGGTGACTTTGTTCACATGTTTGCGTATGCTTTATATCTAAATGTATGTTGCATCACGTATGAATTACGTATATACATATATATATGTTTGTTTTTACTGACTATACCAGTCCTTGAGTTTGCTTTAAGATAAGAATGATGATAATACTACCTCTACTAATAATAATAGAAATTTCTATCTTACTATATTATAAATATTTACCTTTCAGAGTTCTGGTTTTTGTGTCTACTGCCCCACGGGGGGCTGTAGACACTTAGTTATCGGCTCACTTGTAAGTTATGATAGTAAATCCAAAGATTTAGAGATCTGGAATAAATTTGAGAGTTTACTGTTCAAGAGAGGAATTATGGGATACCATTGTATCATAAGCTAAAGATAGAAATTAACAGTCTCCCAAACGTAAATGGCGTCCCCACATAGAAAGTGTCCAAATAAACTATGTTAAGCAATAGACACATTCTCCCACTGGGAACCCTTTGTTTTTAAAATCCTCACAATACTTTCATCAGTTTAAAGTAATGGTAAACTTGTCATATGTTCAATGTTGGTGTAGTCACATGAAAAGAAACACTATATATGGGGTAGCTCATAACTACAGTTGTGGTTCAGTAATTATAATAATTTGGTATTACCATGCATTATCCAGTTTTTGATCAAAAGCTAATTGCTTTAATAGTCTAAGTATCAACACAATAAAGTATACCTTTAATTTGTGCTACGTCCAGACATGAATTGTCAAAATGAACTCCCAATTGAGTTTAGCTAAAGTGACCATAATAACTGCATTGTACAGTAATTACCCAGCTGTTACAATTAACGATGTCGCGGTGGCTCTTTACATTCCAAATCATAACAAGTTTAATCGAGCCATCCTTCGTTAATTTAGGAGGGATACCCCATTACTTTATGGTGCCAGGATGGCCTAGACCCGTACCTATTTAGATAAGTGACTATTAAGCCTGTGCCTGGTGATTAAAGCCCTGGTTGCGATGAGTGTCGCTCAGAGATTATTGAGATGTTCCCCTTGGGAGTGTGTTTGTAAAATGCATCGGTGGGCTTAAATGATGGCTGATATGAGGACTCATTATTAGCACATCACCTGCCATCAAGGATAAAAGTTCATCAATATCATTTTTATTATCTTTCCAAAAAATTGTATCATCAAGACAGTTATAGACATTGCAATGTGTATAAATTTAATGTCATTGTTACATGCCATTGTCTTCCTCATCAACATCTTCTTGTTAATTTTTAATGTTTTGTTTAGCTATTATAATTTCAATATTTTCAAATATCAGTAACCTTCTTATGAATGTAGCATGTTCATATTCATTATGGAACAAAGCATTCAGCTGTGTTTTTTAATAGCTCCATGAAAAAAAGATAATTGGTCATCATGATAGCTCACTGAATTTCATAGCCGAAACCTAATAGACAACCAAGAATTCAAATCTTAATATGTTCCATGCAAATTCATAATATTTGTATATTACAAACCAAATGCATATCTGTACACAAGTCGTTACCTTGATATTGCTATGGGAAGTTGGCCGTAGTGGTTATTTCAATGGTTTTCAACCCAGAAAGTATAAACATATTTCCTATTGGGTTATATTGAGAGAATCTTACTTATACATGTAGTCCTAATCTTGATGTATTTCTGTACCAACAGTCCTAATATTGATGTATTTCTGTATCAACAGTTCTAACCCTTAATATATTTATGTACCAGCAGTCCTAATCTTGATGTATTTCTATAACAACAGTCCTAATTTTGATGTGTTTCTGTACCAACAGTCCTAATCTTGATGTATTTCTGTACCAGCAGTCCTAATCAATTCACTAATCTCACTATTAAAATCACCACAACTTCATAAAGTGAGATATTTTTTAGAGGTGCTAGAAAACCATTAATTCATTCAGTAATGTCAGAGAAATATTCATAAAGTCATGGAGAAGACATCAGATTGGTTCTTTATTCCAGTAAAGGGGAAATACATAATCATCAAACCTGAACAAATTTATGTGTGATAATTAGGTCCTACAATTTGTGTCAAACGTAAAGCTCACATTATGTCAAATCCTAGACTTATTCAGAAACATATAATCTGTGTTTATTGATAGAATTAACCAATTGATGACTTTAACTAATAATCCATGTTGATGGATTATGAAATGTTGCTAATCTACGATCTAAACTGAGTTAACAGTAATGGTAGGCAAATGCATATTAAATTGATTCATGGGATTATAAAATGTCGCTAATCTAAGAAGTAAACTGGGGTAACACTAATGTTCGGTCTATGCGCATAAAACTGATTCATGTAAAAGCATTATCAGCAGTCCTAATCTTGTTATATTTCTGTTTTTTGCAGATTGAGCCATTGTTTCGAGGTGCCTTGTTTAATATTGCCTTACTTTATTCAAACAATAACAGAAGCAGGGAGGCAATCCCTTATTTACAAACATTATTACAGGTTAGTGAACTACAATAAAATGCTTTAATTAATGAATACTTAAAATTTAAATAAGTCATTAGAGTGACCCTTTTCTCCCAAAAACTTTCTCTTGGCTAAATCTATGTTATTGTACGAGGACAATAAACTCAACGGATTTAAATCCTATGAGGGCCAGATGTTCTTCAGAGGAGAGTGGCTAAACTTATTATTAAATTCTGCAATGCTTTCATTTTGTGTTTATTACTTTTTTATTATCTTAGGATGAACAGATTATAAATTCTCTGACCTTGTGAATATCTATCTTTGTTTAGATTTTTTTAATTTATTATTTTTTCTGTTCGGGGGAACAGAAGAATAAGAATACAAAATCCAATTAGAAACAGGGAGGTTATTCAACAATTTTCAGAACTATAGAGGGCCTCATAATAATTTCCAAAAAGACATGGTACAGTATTATAGTACTGTACTTGGCATTTGCAAATATAGTTAGAGTGCCCTCTATGTACATGTACACATACTTATTAAAATTTGAAAGGATCATGGTTCCATTTACCTTACTTTAAAAGTTATTAATTAAAGATGGGTTAGAGATTTTTTGCTTGGTCATGAGCGTTCAGGAGATCATGCCAATTTGCTGGGGAGACTTTGAACCACCACTATATAAAGCATCTTGTGATTTTAATAAGTGATTCATATTTAATAATGATTTATATTTAATATTAAAAGATTTATTTCTTTTAATGATGATTTATATGTAATAATAAAATTATTTCTTGGTGAGTTTAAGATGAAAAATATATTAATTTATGAATTGTTTGTATAATCAAATAACTGATAAAAACAATTCTGTCTTTTATCTCTCAAGGCATACCCAAGACATACGAAAAGTTGGATTTTATTAGGAGATATTTACATCAATACATTAAAGCAGGTTCCAGAAGCAAAATTGGTAAATATACTGATACTTAAGTTACTCACTTCCAATCCCTGGGTCTTATGGTTTAAATTTTTTCTCACTACTAAAATCACCACAACTTCATAAAGTGAGATATATTTTTTTACAATCCTGCCACTCACCAATAACAATTATTTCAAATACAAATTAAAAGTTTATTTTTGATGTGTTTGTGCTCTTGCGACCATTGCAAAATTTATTTTTTGGGGAAAAAAAACTTCCATTACTTTTATTCTGCTAATCACTCTCATAACATATTCAGATAAGAAATCTTTAGTCATACCTTACGATTAAATAAATATTCAGTAATGCATTTATCAATCCAATTACGGAACTGTTTCATAGCAACATCATAACAATTCATTCCTTATATGGCCATGTGATTAGAGCTCAAGCGAGGGCCTGAGGGCACACTCTTACTTTCTACCTACACAATCTCATTTTTGTTATTCATCAATAAAATTTTAAGTATTGAACAAAAAATGCTAAAAACATTTTAGCCATCATTATTAATAATATTATACTTTTTATCGTTACACTTATTTCAAATAATAACTAACAAAAAATCAAACTCATGTTAAAACTATTTTTCACTTCCATGCAAAGCATCTAAAATTGCCATTTTCAGTTTACCCTCCAATTTGAGATAATTTTTGGGACCTCAACAAATTTGGAATAGTATTGTTGTGAATGCTTGCATGCTTGCTTCGCACATCCAATCACTAATGCAAAGTGCCTGAGACCAGAATCCCAGTAGTGGAGATTCTAGGCCCCCAGGGGGTAGAGGATGCCAATCGTAGCTGCTAAATTAACAAACCTTAAATTTGCCGATAAATATTTCTGACTTGTTATATTTTGTGGTTTCATAAAAAAAGATTGATTTATTTTTGTGCAACTATTGTCTATAAAAACAAAATAGTATTGGTAAATTTAGGTAAGTGAATGTCAATTGATTATGCTTTTATGCTCTCCATGTTTACATTTAATATTTTGTAATGTTTTGGTTCAAATTATATGTATTATAGCATAATGTCATATAACCCCCTCAAAAATAATCAAAACAGTAGTAAACACAACCAGAATGTGCAAGTCATTTGGGCTTTTTCCACTTAACATCTCTGAATATTTCACAGATTTCAAATCTTTAAAGTTGAAAACTATGAAAACTTTGTTTAAAATCTGACCCTCATATTTTGCGGAGTATAAATGCATAACCTTTAACCTTTGTCCACTCATTTTTAAATATGAGGTAAGTATGTTAATGAACATTTCTATTAATTTCTGAATACCTGTTAACGGTGCATTATTAAAAACTTGTATCTGGTTAATTTTACTTCCAAGATTTTGTCACTTGGGACTTCAAAAATGGTGGTCACAGTCTCAAATTAGAGGGTTCTCATAACTAGGGGGTGAGCCTAGTGTTAAGAGATAAGTGATCAGTTGGTAAGTTCATAAACTCGTATCGAATTAAAGTGGCCTGAGATTGGAGGTTAGTATTTCTTAAACCTCTCTAACATTGTTTTGGTTTTTCTGGCAGTGTTTTCAGAAGACAGTGGAGATTGATCCGAATAACATCCAGGGCCAACACAACTTGTGCGTTATTTACGTCGAGGAAGGGAACCTTGAGATGGCTAAAAAGTGCCTTGAAAAGGTTGTGAGAATGGCACCGGGAGAGAGGTACATCAGGAAACACTTGGAAATTGTTCGTAACCGAATCGAGAAACAAGAACGTATGAAGCTACAAAATAAACAGATAAATGATGAAAAACTAAACAACTCCAATCGATACGGTGCTAAGTAGTTTGGAATTACACTCCATAGCATCCAACAGGTATACTTATGCTATTCAGGATAATGGGCTCTCAATGTGTTGAATGTTAAAACATGTGCATTATCCATAAAAAAAAATGTTAGAGCATGATCTTGGAATTTGGCATTTTAATCAGTTTGGCAAGATTACTTTTTATACCTTGTTTAGTGAACTTTATTTACTGAATGTCGGGTGGAGGGAATAAATTGAGATTCGATGGTACTACTAAAAGCACATACTGTAGCTGGACATAGAAAATGTAAATGCAATTTTTTTTACGAATAAATTAAAATCGAAGTGTGTGATGTAAAAAAGTTATAAAGGGTGCCCTCACTTGTGACACAGTCGCATGGTAATAAAACATGTGATATTCGATGGAAACAGTTCAATAATCAAATTGATAAATGCTTTGTATTTATAAAATTGTGTTAAAAAAAATATATATATTTTATTTTTGGTTATTTCATGGAAGCAGGGGTGATAAAAATAAATTTCATTTTTTTTTTTCTGTAATGCAGATGTGTCACCAATTTTTAAATTCAAAATCTGTGGGGTGCAGTCTGCTGGTTCGCAAAGCAAGGTATAAAAAAGTCTTGCCTAAGGTTGTGCAATTTTAATCATATGTCAAAAATAATAACATGATATCTGCAGCCTGTGATGATGGATGATCTGTTGATAATGTTTTCCTATCTAAAAGAGAATTAACCTGTTATCCATGAATCACTTCTATAAAAAGAAAATGGAGACTGATAATAGAGAAGGGAACTTCCATTTTGCTCCATAATGACTAAAATGTTAATGGCAGTCTATTTTTGATGACTGTAAATTTTCCATTTAATGAAGTCTTAATCAATTCAGAATTGAATACAAGTAATAATTAAGTAATGAATTTATTAATATGTTGGACCAATGATTTAAATATTTGAGGTAGAGTATAATGTTATTCCGAAGCATTGTGAAAGCATTCTGAAGAAGGATAGCAATTCTTCTATTAAGACCAAATCAAAAATTGTTGATGTTTTTTAAGAATCAATTTGAGATTTTCAAATTATTAACAGTACTCATTAATTCTAGATTTTTATGTTAATTTTGAATCAGTGACCAACATGGACATTATGAATTTTTTAATTTGTTATAAATATTTAGTTTATTTTAGATACTGATAACGACTACCCATCTAAAGATTTATAATTCTAATCAATAATACAGCATTCATATAGATATATATATATGGATATATTATATAATTATGTATAAATTTATACATATATATTATATATATGTATTTATATCTACTTATAAGGGTGTAAATATACAAATCTTTTATGTATAAATGTTATGTATAAATGAAGAATATTTTAGGTACATTTTTGGGTCATTAACTAAAACCAAAGTGAATTTATACAACCCTAGTTAGCGTTGATATGAGTTTCACCAAAAAAAAAGAATTGATTTTATTGTGATTTATAAGAAAAACAAAGTAAAATTTATGCTATTAACGCAAAAAACAGAGCCCACCAAAAAGCAGTGAAGTTCTTGCTGCATGTTTTATGGCGCTTACATGTTCTGAATGTTTGTTGAGTGTAAATTTCATGTTTTCAGGAGGTGAAAAAGGGTTGCACAAGTTTGCAGGTGTTTGTGAAATTATTTTTTAAACTAATACTTGTCACCTGCTCCATTGTAAATGGGTTCGCTGTTTTTTGTTTTTGTTCAATGGAATCAATTTAAAATTGACGTCCTTCGCCTCTTTATTAAATATTGAAATAATACTGTATTTTCTTATCAAAAATCTTCTTTCTGCCAAATTTATATTTTTGCATATTATTATTATTGGTAGACCTATTAATTGATATAATTATCAAAGCTATTTCAAGTGAGCGTGGTTTAGATTTGATCTCAAATTTGAGGTGAGAAGGTCAATCCCTTATTGAATTGTGCTTGTGAGCTTGGGCAAGGCACTTTACTTACGGTTGTCCCCACCCATGGCTTTAAGTGGGTACCTGGTAGGTTCAAACACTATATGCTAATTACTGCTGCAATTATATGGTATGTTTCATAGGCATTTGTCCCCATGGCTGGGATAATAATGTAGTAAGCACATATATATCTTGATAAATATGTGCATTATAAATCTATCACTTGTTATTATTTTTACTGTGACTGTCAATTTATTTTTCTTTACATCTTTTCAGATATGTGATAATTCATTTTTATGGACATAGATATCTAATACATTCATATTAAGACCACGTTTTTCCAAAAAAAAAAAAAAAACACTCAACAACCTTGAGTGAGATATTCACCACACAGCTATGTGCCGTTCCTTGGTGTGTTTATATGTTCGTGTGTGTGAGTTTAGTGTATTATTTGTTCAATAAAAAATGTTTATTCTTTAATTGTACATTGTATAAGAAATGAAAATATTAATGTTTTTCTCTTGCTGTTGAATATTCTCTAATTCTGTTGTACATAATGAAATGGAAATATTTTGTGATTTATTTGAATCAGTTTGCGACGAAATACAATTATAATAAAATTGGACCTATTTTATATGAAATACTACAAGTTTCTTGCATTTTTTTATTGTTTCAATGCCTAATACTACAATTGGCATATTTTAAACATGGAGAATTGTAAACGATATACTCTAGATGATTACTTTATATCAGAACAGCTAGAGTACAGTACAGTGATTATAAACATACGATAGTTAAAATAGTAGCAAAGAGTGTTTATGAGAACTGAGTGGTCCCCGTGCATGGAAAATAATGGTATAAAATGGTGAGGAACTTGAATAAGACGAAAAAAGTTGTTTTCGCTTGTTGAAGTATTATGAACTCAAAGTACCGTAGACATTCTGTCTATTCGCTGACATCATCCAGTTGAGACATTTCCAATTCTGGAAAAAAAAAAATAGAAAATTTTAGCTATATTCAATACATCTTAAATCTTAAACCATATTGATTAATAGGCCTCATGATTAGTTTTTACGTAGAGGTTTGACAGTCGAAGAAAACATAATTGCATCCGTAATTTTGATACACAATAACAATTGCACAAGATAGGCAAAATCCCCTAAAATGTGATACCGGTAGTTAAATATAATAACGTCGGTATATTTTATGACATTAAAGACTTTGTAATTCACTTGATAACCTAAGGTACGTTTACGCTGTCATTTTGTGTAACCTTAGCAACAACATCCAAAGGGCAGGACTTTAGCGGAAAGGTCATTGTTGATGGGTCTAAACACACCTGTGTTAAATAATACTTGTTGTGCATCTTCCACTACCAATGTGTTCCTCCTATCGGGTATGTAATTCACTTGACTTCGTCTAACACTGGTTTTAACTCTTCTATTACCGATACTGGGATCCAAAATATGTTTGTATCTTTTTTTGTTGCGCATTCGAAGTTTTTCCCTCTCAATTGGGCGAAAGATAGGTCGGTGGTCAATAGCTTTATCTTTTGAATGAAATGGTGGAAGCACATCAGGTAGTCCGTTGTTACTCTTTTTGTAGCGATATTTTTCAACACTTTTCCAGCTTACAAACTGCGTCTGAAATCTTACTGTCTGCTCCTGATCGAATCTCCGACGAACTTCTCTTAAACTGTCAACTTGGCGTTTCCAACTTCTTTTATGCTCCTCTTGTTTCTGAATTGTCTGCGCATGTTTAAGTTTAGCATCACTGATCTGAATGTCTTCTATTCTATTTAATAGACGCTCATGCCGTTGGTGTTGGTCACTATCATTCATGTATACAGACGTCAACATTTTAAGTTTCTCGTCATCCACATGTTTAACCTTTAGGCCTTGCTTTTGACTTTCCCTTTCGGGCTTTCGACTTTGCATCACCTGATCAGACTGGGCTCTTGTCTGTTTATGACGCTTCAATGAAAGTTTCAAATTCTGGTCATCTTGAATGGCGTATTTATTGTCAGTCTGGGAGATTTCAAATACATGTTCTTTCTTTTCGTCATTTCTGTGTACTCTAGGAAACAAATGTCACAAAACCTTTAAAATATATTTGCTCTACTGCATTAATATCGTAAAATATATTTTAAAATAATTATAACATTTCTAACTTGTCTTACGACAGATCATTAATAAAATTAAAATAGTATACCCAATACAACGTACTTTGAAACTCTACTTCCTGATTGGCCTGTTGTGTTTCTTATTCGCCTATCATCCTCGTATGTCGCCCGTCTGCATATGTGCTTCCAACTGCCCTTGTCTTGTGGTACCGATGATTCAACTGAAATTTTTTTTTGGTAAATTAAATTTTGATTTCACCGTGTATTTGGAGCGGGTAATGTTCCTGTCACTCCAAGTGCTATTGAATTGGGCATATAAAATATCGCCTTTCCTCAAACAAGTGTACTTATATCTTGGAACTATTAATAAGAGATTTTGGGTGGGGTGGGGGAAGCCGTCCATTTCTTTGTCCCCTCTGTTTCGGATTCCTGGATCCGCCAACGATCATTATTGAAACCAATGTTGCTATAGTTGTTTGGTCTTCTAATTAATGAAAATATTATGTCGTAGGTAAGAACTGTGTATCTAGCTGGAGCTACTGTAGCTTGTCTAATCTTAGGGTTCTGGGTTCTTCGTGATTACAGTAGTTCTCAAGACCATAAACAACCTCATAATGAATCCGTTTGCTACCGATTAAGTGATAAGTGACTTAACTATTCGCAATCCTTCGCCAATATAATATAATGAATAAAAACATAATGATTCAAATGCCAAATACAACGTACTTTGAAACTTAACTAGCACGTAATATTAAATGTGCAATTGACCTCATTATGTACAGATTAAAATCTTACCAATAGGGTACCAACAGCGTAGTCTGTATTTAACACTCGTCTCTTGCACTTTGTCAATATGCGATTTGAATGATCTTGTATCGCCACTTGACGTGGCAGTGACCGGACGCTGACAACTACGTGTTGTGTCCAATCTCCCGCAAGCCATATATTAGCAACGTTGATACTATATAGTCGTTAATGTCTATGAATACCCTATATGAAACAATTGTATGTAATATAATAATTTATAGTATTATTGTTAAACTTTGATTTTGTTTTCTGTATAATATTAATGAATCAATAAAACGCATTAGAACACGGACCAGATTAATCAAAATACTGTAATGAAATTGCCACTATGCATCTAGTCAATATTGACACATTATAGGCCTAGCTTATTACTAATTAGCAAACATTCTCCGTGGCTCTTTCAATGAACAGCGGTCGATATGTTTTGATTCAGTTCATTAGTAAGCTTATGGCATATATTCGCCCCAACGTAAATTAAAAAGAATTGCTTTGAATTGAAATGATTTGATATCTTATCAGAATACAGAAACATCTCATTTCGAATATAAGGAGACTCGTGCGTTAATTTGTAGTAGGAGCTACCAAAAGACTTGGAATTAATGAATATTAACGTCTTAGCGAAATCAAAGTATTACAGTACCGTTGCCTGTATCTGCTAAATAAAAGAACATGTTATGCCAAGCGTTGACAGATACGGTACTACAGGAGTAGCCAAACTTTCTTTCAATAAATGTTAGTGTATTGAAAATCAATATTTTACGTATCAAGTTTGTATTA